ATATGCACCCATCCCATGCCGTTCCTTCAAAAACCACGCCATTCATTAAAATACATTAATTAAGTAGCCAACTTTCTTAATCTTTTTTTTTTTTTTGGTTTCAAGTGCATGTAAATGCAGTATCAATCAAACATCAAATGTCGAACAAATATCAACCCAATACTTTTGTTTTGTTTCTGATGATATATAGACGGACAAAGCTTCCTTACTAGCAGAAGTAATACAACATGTGAAAGAGCTGAAACGGCAGACTTCTTTGATCGCGGAGACAAGTCCGGTGCCGACCGAAATGGACGAGCTAATCGTCGACGATGCGTCGGACGAGGACGGGAAGTTTGTGATAAAAGCCTCGCTGTGCTGCGAAGACCGTTCAGATCTCTTGCCCGACCTCATCAAGACACTGAAGGCCTTGCGCTTGAGAACACTGAAAGCTGAGATCACAACGCTGGGGGGACGTGTAAAGAACGTGCTGTTCATCACTGGAGAAGAAGAATCGAGCAGCAGCGGAGGGGAGCAAGTGCAGCAGCATCAAGGGCCACATCAGCATCAGCAGCAGCATTATTGTATCAGTTCGATTGAAGAAGCGCTTAAGGCTGTGATGGAGAAGACAGGTGGGGAACATGAGCAGTCTTCTTCTGGAAGTGTTAAGAGGCAAAGGACTAATAACATCAATATCCTTAACTGAAACACAGACAGGTCTCTTTAACCAGCTATTATTATCAAGGCTAGTTAATTAATCTTCTTCTTCTTGTTGTTTTTTCTTTCGGTTTTTCTCTTTTTGTTTTTATTTTCTTAGTGGGGTTTTGGATTTTTTCTTTTCTTTTTTTGGTTGGCGTGTTTGGTGTGGTGTATTTCCGTGAGTGAACAAATGGGTAATGATGGTGTGGTTTGTGTACTACCTGCATTGCTCCGAAAAAATAGATGAGAGAGAGAGAAGATGAACTTGGTTTGTTATTTAGGAAGGGAAAAAACAGTGAAGGATCTTTTTCGTGGGGAGAGAAACCTTATATAAAACCCAAAGATAGAAACCAAAATGCATGATGGAGTGTTGCTGTTTTGATTTGATCCGGTTTGAACTCAAAGCTGCAGTTCTGTTTTTGTTTTTTTCCACTAGTTTTGTTGATCACTCTCTATCTAATCAGAGAATTGATCAGACTAGTTATAGTGTACTGGTGGAACTATGTAGTGACGACGTAGTTTTGTCATATGGTACGTAATTAATGTTGTCCCCACAACACATTGGCCACCACTCACTGAGACTCAGCAGCAGGTACCACTCTCTTCCTACAATTCGTACGTGCAGAGTTTTTTTTTCTGGTGAAAAAGAAAAACCATAAAAACCCTAACGAGCGAGCGAGCGAGGCATGCATGTTTCAGTTTCATCAGAGCTACCTAGCTATATGTACATATTCTACTACATAAATATATGCCTTTTGTATTTCTCGTCCTCTTTGTTTTTGTCATTTTTTGGAGTTTTACATATGTGCTTGGTAATTGGTACGTATATATACTACATATATATGATGCAATGTAATGTCTGTAAGAACCCGCATTGCATATAGAAAATATCTTCTTGCTTTTCTTTTATTCATTTTATGCTGCAATTTAAGTATTATTTTTAATGAATTTATACTTGAAAATATATAGAAAAAGAAACAAATCAAGGGTTAACGATGCATTACCCGACAGTTACTGCAGTGGTGTTGGTTAAAGGAGATGCAATTTGCAGGTCGAAAAGCTGTAATTAGATATGTACCTAATATATATATATATATATATAGATATGTAGTTCATGCAAAAAGAAAATGTGAATGTTCCATATATAATTTTCTATTTTCTTTGTGTGGGGACCTTAAAAAGAAACACCAAGAGCAATAAGAGTAGCTTAAAAAGAAAAAGAATGCATGTATATCATATACGCCTATTCTGCATGATTCTTTTACTCGGTTAATTATGTGAAGCGTCATTTGGGTTTCCATTAATTTTATGTTCCCGTGAGTCGTGACATAAAATAAATACACTTTTCACGTTAATTGGGTTTCCATGAATTCTTTTACTCGGAAAAAGCAGCATTCAAAGCACTGACCGGGACAATTTGACTGTGCCAATACAAACTGTTATGACAACGTCATTGCATTGCATGCCCATAGGCTATATAGCACCAAGAAATAATGAGGACTGTGTCTGTGTGAATCTTTTTGTTCATGCAAACGATATTGACGAATGAACAAATCCATGGATGGATGAACGCTCGTTTAGATTCATGCAATTTGCCTAAATCTTTGACAACCTTACAAAGACGCAAGTTTAGATTCATTTTAATTTTAAGTGAGAAAAATAATAATTAAAAGGACGTTAAAGCCCTTGGCTTTGCGCTCATACTGGGCTGGGCTGCTTAAGGCCCTTCACCTTCGGGTCAACCTCATCCAATATTTTATTCGACTGGTGAAAACACGCTGACGTGTTTAGTGACGAGTATGTGACGGAAGCAAAATTCAAAACTTGGCAATGGCCAGTCTTCAATCTGCTACAAACCTTTTTGTTTCCTTTGCCAAATCCAATCAGAGATATTTAGTCATATACCCATTTTTAGCACTAAAATTATAAATAAATTTTACACCATTTAATTTCTATAATCAAAATAATAAAAAAAACCCAAAAATTGATAACTGATCCCATCGAATTTAATTTTGATTATTAAATTACTTTGATGCCCTATTAAGTGTTTTGGGCTTTTTTATGAGGTTTTCGGGTTTAGTTTGTTTTAAGAAATCAATGACAGTTTTGTAATTTAAAAGCATTTAAAAGAAGTTAAAAGCCTTTTTATTGGGCTTTGGGTGTGTTTCTAAATCCCATTTCATATAGGATTTTTTTTATAATTTGGGCTCCTATATTGAGTATAATAGTGAATCTCCTTAATTAAAAATCCAATTATAATTAATAGGAGTTTTTATTTAAAATGAATTTTTTTTCCTTTTGCCTTCTTTTGTATTTTAATTCAAATATCGTTTTATTTCATTGCAAATATGACTCCAACCCCTTTTTCTTTTCTTGGACAAGTGCATATGCTCTTAGAGCATTTCCAAGGGAGATGTCAAATGTAAAATGTTAAATTTGAATATGATGGCTTATGTGGCAATTTGACACTTTGGAAAAAATTAAACTCCACTGAAATGTCAAATATCATGTTATTTTATTATATTTTTAAAAGCAAATGGGGTACATATAATGTATAAAGTTTTAAAAGATAATAAATAATAATGGGGTTCATAATTAAAATAATGTTTGACATCAAACCTTTTGATATGTTATTTTTGACATATATCTTTCAGCCTTTAAATCCATATAGGATTTAACTACTTGGTTGGAGCAACTTTAACTTTCAATTTTTACTTTTTTATATACATGTAGCAATTTGACATATCAATTAAAAATGCTCTTAGAAAATAAAAGCACATGTTTTTTTATTTTATTTTATTTTAGCTTTTCATCACTCCCCCCTATACCTATAGTATTTGTAATTTCTTACAATATGAATTTTTTTTTTTTTGGGAAATACAATATGAGTTATGTATAATAATAATAATGTGTTTGGTAATTGGTCTAAAAACAGCCCAACGCTGTCTCTTCCGAGTTCGTACAATGGGGTGGGTGAGGAAGCTTCCTCGTAGGCCCAATCCTTAAGAATAGCAGACCATCAAACATGAAACCCAAATTTCTTGAGATGGAATGGATCAAGGAAATGAATGTGTCAAATTTTACTATATTTTTTGACTGTCTAATAGATAAATATGGGTTATTTAACTATGTAGGTGAAGCTGGGTCGTATCGTATGGTAGAATTCTATATAAGACCCTTAGATGAAAGACCTATCTCCTAATCGTTTGATCAAATTAATTAATTTTTGGATTAAATTGATTAATTTGATTAAACAATTAAAAGATAAAGCCTCATAAGGCCCTCACTCTAGAATGACTTAGGTGGTATGTTCGTCGACAACCCCATCCTTCTGTTGTTTCTTACGTTTTTGACCTTGTTGGGTAATTTTTGTGTTTTGTTGGGCTTTGTTCTCTTTAAAAAAATTGTTATTGACACTTCAAAAATATTATTTTGCACTCCACCTTATTGTAAAAAAATAATAATAAAAAAGTACATGATGATTTTTTTTTTTTTTAAGTGCCAGTAACAATTTCCTCAAATTTTCTCACCCTGATATTCGTTTCTGGTATTAAAGAGATGAGGTTTGTTAAGGAAAAAAACTCATCTTTTTTGGGTCTGTTATCTCTTAAATATATTCAATACCATTTGTCCATTTCAGGGGGTGGATATATCATATATGTATTGACTCAAATAAATCTGATACATTCTTTCATTCAACTATTCTTGTTCAACGACAACAAAAATAAAGTTGTGTTCTTAAAAGAAAAAGAAAAAGAAAACTGGATTTGACCACTCAATTATCAATTGATTCGTGCATGATAAACAAATGGTTAAAGTAGATGCTGCAATCAAAATGCCAATGCACCAATCAAAAGAACCGCAGGCTGTGCCTGCCATCTGTACTTCCAATACCAAGAGATCTTATCCGCTTTAAACCATCTACCCAAAAACTCATAAATATCCAATTACAGATATGTCACTAATTGCTTTATAAGTACTTTACGTCACTAATTTCCAGCCTCCCCAATGCTATTAATAGAAGAATATATATAAGAGGTGACAGAGTTTCGCGAGTATTTTATAAGACTCACTCGCATCAACGAAAATTACTCACGACCTCCTCCTAAATGATTTTGTGAAGCATTACTTATAGAATAGGTGTATCCTTTTTTTCCCTTTTATTCCACGCGGACAATTTTAGCCCATCCTTCCCTGGTCTCATTACACACAAATACGAGGGTAGTTTCGTCCACAACTGTTGTCTGTCGTAAGCCAACGACTTGGGCCACTTGGCTTTTAGCGTGAAAAGTAAAGTGGAGGAGGAAATAAAAAACAAAACAAAAAACGCTTATACCTTATACACACCAGACCACCTCGAAGAAGAAGTCTCCTTTTGTGTCTTTTTCTCTCAAAAGTTTAAAACCTTCGACAGCTTCTGCTTCTTCTTCCTCTTCCTCTTCGCTCCTCGCTCTCTCTACTGTTTGTTTCCGTACAGTCCCTGTAAATCCCTTCTCTGTAGATAGAAGAGATAGAGAAAGAGAGCCTCAATTTCTGCGTACAAATACTTTCTGGAAATGTTGGTTCCGCGGAGAGTGATGACGTGGAGGTCGGTGGCCAAGTCTCTGCAACCTCTTCTTGCCCATGCCTCGCTTTTCACATTCACGATTTTCCTCGTCCTTAAACTCCACCATGCCGTGCGGTACCATTGGTGGTTCGTAATTTTCTTTTCCCTCTGCTTTTTCCTTTTTTGTGTTGTTTTTGTTTGGTTGCCGAGAAACTGAAAGAAAATAAAGGGAAAAAATATATGGAATTTTCATAAGCATTTAATTCCGCGAGGGAGAGTGTTACATACTGTAGTTTCTGCATTGTTCTGGGAAACTAAAGGTGCCTATTTTGCGAGTTTATGAAGTTTTTACCTTTGTGGGTTCAAATTTCTGTATTTCTAGGTGTCTTATGGAGTTAATTGCTGAGAATCACACTCAATTTTCGAGTAAAATATTTTTTTTGTGTTCTGCTTGGCAATTTAATATTTATTGTATTGGATATGCATTTTCAGTGATCATGGAGGGTTGCTGCTTCATTGAGCATAAACTGGAGATCTTTGATTTTTATGTTTTTAGTTAGGTTTTCTTATGCTTACTGTTTCAAATTCTTACATGCACTATATGATTTTGGTTTGGAGATTTCATAACTCGATGAAGCCATTTTGCAAGATAATTCAAACTGACCAATGCACTACCAAACCTTTAAAAACAGAGTTGAAAACATACCTGTTCACCACGAACTTACCAAGTTCTAAGCCATTCATTTATTCATGGTTGTAGCTGAGCAGTGAAGATTGTAGAAAGAACCATTTAAGGTCATCTCATGCAAGAAAGCTGCATGATAGTTTAGGTTTTGTAGCTGTAATTGTATTGAGGGTTCCAAACCTCTTTGGTGAAGCATAACTTTCCTTAAAAAGAAAAAAGAAACCCAATGCTCCCGAATGATTCCTCTGATTTGTCTACTACATCAACTGATGTTTTTGATATTGGTTTAATGTATAATGTTTTGTTGTCTTAAAACCGCAGGATCATATTTTCCCCTCTGTGGCTTTTCCATGCAGTTGTATCACGAGGCAGATTTTCGTTACCTGCTCCAAAGCTGCCTAATGATCGCAACGTATGAGATACTATTTCCAATTTTTTTTCTTTTTTGGATTTTTCATGTTTCCCACGTATGTGTGTTGTAATGTTTTTGTGGACGATCCAGTTTACAAAACAGTAAATATTTCTTTCTTATGGACAGTGGGCACCTTTTCATGCTGTCATGGCGACACCGTTGCTTGTCGCATTTGAACTAATGCTTTGTATCTATCTTGAGAGCAGATATGGTATAGAGGCAACATACTTAATGACAATCATCATTAAAACCATGTTTCTTTTCTTTAAACATTTATACATTTTGGTATGTAGATAAATGGATTATCAGATGTGTCACTAATTCCTATTTTTTGTGAACAGTTGTAAGCTTGAAGATTGTCTTTGCACCTTTGGTGGCGTTGGAACTCGCAATTCTATTTGATAATATCAGGTGTCTATATTTGCGTCAATAAGTTTTATTTTTCAGGTTACCCCCGCTCCCGATACTACTTTTTGACTAATCATTGGTTTCAACCCTGTAATAGTAATTGGACCTGCTTTATGACAATCTGGAGCAGAGTCCTGATAAAATCCATTGAGACATCCAGATCGTAGATTAATGAATTATCGTAAAACTTCACCAAAATTTTATTCTATGACTTCCGATTCTATTGCCAAATCTTAACCTTCAACTTGATCTGAAAATTCGCGTTACTTAAGTTGTTCTATAGGGCTATGTATCTTGTATTTTACAATGTAATGTTTTGGTTTAGTAAATTGTACTTCAGCTTAAGTAATTAATGTTTCTATTGTATAGGATGTGTAAGGCTCTAATGCCTAGTGATGATGAGCACGTGAGTGATGATGTGATATGGGAAACGCTTCCTGTAAGTTTGCCGCTATTTTATTATAGAAGGATTGAGTTGGAATAGGTATTTCTTATTGTTATTAGGCTTAAATGAATTCAATTCTTGAGTATGATTTGAAATGTTCGCTTCATCTATTTGTTCTGGTCACCTAGTTGTTTGTGACTAAGAGGATTGCGGTTATTATACAAGTAACTTCTGTTTATATTGTAAGCTGGAAAAAATCTAAACATGAAATTATGTGGCATGCTGAAAAGTGATAGTTAAATCTGTTTTTGAGAAAGAAAGAAATATTAATGGCAGTTAAGATCTTTTCGTCCTCTAATAATATGTGTGATGGGTAACTAAAGTAGCATTATCTGTACACGTAGTGAATTTAAAGATAGTAATTGTTGTGTGTTATTTTCCTTGCCTATGTAGTATTTATGGAAAAAAAAAATTATGGCTATAAACTCCTTTATACTTTCTATGCTAAATTACCAATCTTTGGTTTCCAGCACTTCTGGATCTCTATATCCATGGTCTTCCTTACTGCTGCCACAATATTTACTCTTCTAAAGATAAATGGTAAGTTTTGGTTCTCTAGTTTTGTACTTGTATTTAATGACACGTATTGCAATGATATGCATTCATCTCTTACAATATATCCTGGCCTGATACTTTATTCAACATGCAGGTGATATTTCTGTTTTAGGCTGGTGGGACTTGTTTATTAACTTTGGGTACTGTTGCATTTGTGTTTACGATGATGTTTGACTATTAATGTTTAGTATTCTTTGTCTTCACCTCCTGAAGTAGCTTCTAAATATCCTTTTACAGAATTGCAGAGTGTTTTGCCTTTCTTGTTTGCACGAAGTGGTATAATCCAGCTATTCACAGACATGCTCACATTCAAGAACCATGTTCACCTTCAATGACTATAAGATACCTTGACTGGAATAGTGGCTTAGTAGTTTCTTCAGATGAAGATCAAGACGAGAGTGCAGTATGCAGCCTGCAGGATATTGGTGGACATATTATGAAAATTCCTCTAATCTGTTTCCAGATCCTACTCTTTATGCACTTAGAGGTGTGTTCAAAGTTTAAACGATCTATCTGGTGATAGTTTTGGAGTGTTCTCAACAAGTCATCATCTTAAGTACATTTATCATTTCAGGGAAGACCATCTGTTGCTAGGCATATCTCAATTCCAGTTCTTTTCACTCCTCTTCTTTTACTGCAAGGAGCCGGTGTTTTATTTGCTGCATATAGATTAACAGAGAAAATTCTTCTTTTAGTACATAATGGAGTTTTTTCTGGAAGATACTTGGACATAACATCAAAAGTTCGTGAGTATTTTGGGTTCTTTCGCCATGGTTCAAGGTAAGGACTTATTTTTAGAAATAGAAATTTCAAATGATCTTTAGAGATCTCTACTCAACACAAACTTTAAACAAAATTCAAGTTACCATGTAGTCATTGTTGGTTAAATCTTCCTGTTGGCAGGTTTTTGGGTTGGTGGTCGATTGACGAAGGAAGTCGAGAGGAACAGGCTAGACTGTATTGTGCAGGGGCTTCAGGGTCTGTGATTCCCTTACTCTTCATAACTGCATTCATTTTCTGCAATATTAGGCAATCTTCTTCCATGCCTCCTGCTTTCTTATTGAAACAATATTAAAGAGTCCTTGTATTCTCTCAATTAGAAGTTCTAAGTACCTCAAAATGTTGTATAGATGCTGCACTATGGTGCGTTCTCGTGTGGTGAATATAGATGCTTGATTTGCAATTGTAATACATGACACACTTTATAACTGGAAATACAAATATTTTAAGCTTTGTGTTGTTGCAATTCCCTGAATTTCTACAATGTTCGTTAATGCATGAAAATGCTTTCCTACATGTTTTCTGAAATAGAAACATTGTTGGGATGTGTTGCAGTTTTGGTTCTAATATGTGTTGTCGGTGTTGTTGCAACTTGCCTGCATGGCTTTCTAGTAGGTGCTGTTGCATAGATAGATATCTGTTAAATTGCATGAAAATAGACGTATCTTGCAAAGTAATACGAAGTTATCATTGTCAATCCTTGCTCTGATCTTTCTTTCAGGTATGACACTTTTTCACCTGATATAGTGAAGAAGTTGCCTAGATCGGACCTTGTTCAGGAGGTGAACACTATTTCTGATTCTCTTGGGTCATGGTTGCCTCTTAATTGAACAATTTGTCTTGGTTTCAGCATTGTTTTACTATCTAATTGATATTTGAGACATGTAATATCAGCTTATAATATTTCTGTTTTCCTATCTCAGATTTGGAAACTGCAAGCTGCACTCAGTGAGCAAACAGAAATCACAAAATTTAGCCAGCAGGAGTATGAAAGACTTCAGAATGTAATGGTTCAAATGACTTGTTGTTTTCCACATAATGAGTATACGAATATTTTCCTGTTGATTTCATAAATTTCGTTCCTAACAACTCAAGTCAACCACATCAAACAATTGGGTTAGCTACATGAGTCCTTCTGTGATAGAGTCGTGAACATAAATTCTTTTCCCCACTTCTCCAGTCATGAGCCAGTCTCCATTACATCTTGAATAATCTCGTTCCTACCTTTAGTGGTTCTTTTTATAACCTATTGATTTAGCTTTCAAGAATCATTATACTCAAGAAGCTCAAGAGTGAAATGTCATTTAACTAAAAACCAGTGAGTTCTGCTGGAGTAGAGAATTTATGAGTAGAAGGTCTGCACAGACCTGTAGTTCCAGTAGTAAGATGAATCCTGTCCAATCCCTGGCAATAACAAGAAGTAGAATCACTCATCAGTTCTGATTGTTTCTTGTAGAAAAGGTGACATCTCTCCAACTACAGAACAGGTCAATGTACCTCAAAAAGTTCTTTTGTTCCTTAATTTGGTTATTTTCCTTAGGTATTTGTTGCTGTTCTTGACACAAAAGAGTATTTTTTATTTTTTATTTTCCTGTATTACTCAACTCTACTTGCATAACAATTGCTTAGATAAAGCAAGTTAATACATTTTCAAACTGAAGACTCGGTATTGAATGGAGAATTCTAGAAGAAATCAATTGAATATTATCCATAGTTTGTGCCACTATTCTTGTTCCAGTGTGAGGATCTAGTTTGGGGCTTACCTGTTTCAATTGAATCCAACAGGAAAAGATTTTATGTCGAGTATGCTTCGAGGAGCAGATTAATATAGTCCTCCTTCCATGCAGGCATCATGTTCTTTGCAGGTACCTTCATATACCTTTCACACCTAACTTGTTTTCACCATTTCATCGTAACAATTTACAGTGATTTTATTCGTCTTAATCTTAATTCTAAATGAATTTCAGCACTTGCTGTGCGAAGTGTAAAAAGTGCCCCATATGCCGCGTCACCATTGAACATCGACTGCCCATATATCATGTGTAAAGCAAGAAGACCAGCAGTTCCAGAACTCTAAAGTTGCTTGTGATTTTAGGTTGTGTATCAAGCAGTTGGAAGCTGGAAAAATTAGTTTTCTTTGTTCATGTCATTATCTTGTAGCATCATGCCAAAGAATTGTATATACACCCTCTTCGAGCACTTCCACCCATGGCAAGGGCTGTTACTATTCACATGAATAATGTCAGCCCTTACAAAGGCTTCTTGTGTTTTCTCCCATTGCCATGGTAAAAGGCAAATACTATTCACTTTTATTTTTTTTAACGGGAAAAAAAAAATCAAGTTTTAAAATTTTGGTAGGTACTTATAGAAAAAAATTTCAGAATTTTTGGTATGTTTTTTACATAACTTTTGATATTTTTTTTTCCATTCGATTGGAGAACAAACCCTGGATTGGACCCTCCAGGAGTCGCCACGTGACTTAGAGTGGGTAAAGTTGCGCTGATGTCATGTTGTTGTCAGCACAAATTTTTATTTTTATTTTTTAACATTGGCACGTGTAATAATAGGAACTGTAATAATAGCACCATTATATGAAGAAAATGAGAGAACATTATCATGTTGGTAAATTTGTTTCGTATAAGCTAAAATGGGTTTTTTTTTACGCCACATTTCACACTCCGAAACTATTCAAATCTTTTTTTTAGAATTTTGGGTTTGAATATAGGCAAAGATTAGTTACTTAATAAATTTTTTGGTATGTTTTTTACATAACTTTTGTTTTTTTTTTTCCATTCGATTGGAGAACAAACCCTGGATTGGACCCTCCAGGAGTCGCCACGTGACTTAGAGCCATTGGGTAAAGTTGCGCTGATGTCATGTTGTTGTCAGCACAAATTTTTTAATTTTTTTTTAAACATTGGCACGTGTAATAATAGGAACTGTAATAATAGCACCATTATATGAAGAAAATGAGAGAACATTATCATGTTGGTAAATTTGTTTCGTATAAGCTAAAATGGGTTTTTTTTTACGCCACATTTCACACTCCGAAACTATTCAAATCTTTTTTTATAGAATTTTGGGTTTGAATATAGGCAAAGATTAGTTACTTAATAAGATATAATTGATGTTTGTGGCATCAGCGTAAGGCCATCTCCAGTTATAGGGCTAAATGTAGTCCAGGGCTAAAAATTTAGCCTTTAAAATATTAATTTTTTAATGAATAGTGCAAGGCTAAATTTTTCCATCTCCAACCATGCATGGCTATATTTTAGGACTCTTCATATTTTATTATTTTGAGAAAAACTATGGTACAACACTCGTATATTCCACAACTATATATTGTTTAATTTAATTAAACAACAATTTAGAGACACTATTTTTTAATTTATATATATTTTTTTAAAACAAAACGAATTTAAAAATATTTAAAAAGGTTATTAAAAATAAAAATAAAAACTGAACAACTAGCTGACATCATCAATGATGTCAATGCGCCTTTAATATTGGCCGTTGGATCTGCAGTTGCACAAGATGTTTTGTGCTCTTACTCATGCGTGATACTTTCTCCTCTTGGAAAGCACATGCCAACCCACAAAAAATTTTGACATAGGCCAAAGCTGGGCTACATTTGGCCTAGTTGAAGGGCTAAAGGGCCAAATGTGGCCCTCCAAATTTGGCCAAAATATTTTTTAGCCCATAGCTGGAGATGAGTTTTGCATTATTTTAGGGCTATATTTGGTCTATGGCCAACAGCTGGAGATGACCTAAGTTGCCTGAAGGAAGCATCTTGAGTCATTTCTCCCTGTGGGCTTGCTCGGGTTGGTGGGCTCCACGCCTTGCCTGTGCTTGCTGTTGTGCGCTAGGCAGGGCCTAAGCCCTATCTTACCCGGGCTGGGTCCTTGCGGTGCTCAGGTTGGTGGGCTCCACGCCTTGCCTGTGCTTGCTGTTGTGCGCTGGGCAGGGCCTAAGCCCTATCTTACCCGGGCTGGGTCCTTGCGATGGAAGTGACCTTATACTAACCGACTACACTGGAGTTGGTTGATATTTTCTTGTCCATATCGTATGTTTACAATTTGTCAACTCAGGAATGAGAAAGTGAATTTTGGAGACGTTTTCTTATCCATATCGTATGTTTACAATCTGTCAACTCAGGAATGAGAAAGTGACCATTTGAAAAGTAAAAAAATTTGGTTATCAAGATTTTTTTTGGGTTCATGTTTGTGGCTGCAAATTGAACAATGCTTCTTTTGGAGATTCTGCAATAAATATTTAAGTTAGGGATTGGTTATAGACTTTTAATCTCAATTGTTGGATTGCATTCATTAATTTTGGTTATCAAGATTTTTTTTTGGGTTCATGTTTGTGGTTGCAAATTGAACAATGCTTCTTTTGGAGATTCTGCAATAAATATTTAAGTTAGGGATTGGTTATAGACTTTTAATCTCAATTGTTGGATTGCATTCATTAATTTTGGTTATCAAGATTTTTTTTTGGGTTCATGTTTGTGGTTGCAAATTGAACAATGCTTCTTTTGGAGATTCTGCAATAAATATTTAAGTTAGGGATTGGTTATAGACTTTTAATCTCAATTGTTGGATTGCATTCATTAATTTTGGTTATCAAGATTTTTTTTTGGGTTCATGTTTGTGGTTGCAAATTGAACAATGCTTCTTTTGGAGATTCTGCAATAAATATTTAAGTTAGGGATTGGTTATAGACTTTTAATCTCAATTGTTGGATTGCATTCATTAATTTTGGTTATCAAGATTTTTTTTTGGGTTCATGTTTGTGGTTGCAAATTGAACAATGCTTCTTTTGGAGATTCTGTAATAAATATTTAAGTTAGGAATTGGTTACATACTTTTAATCTCAACCGTTGGATTTCATTTAAGAGACTATTAATATATTTAATGAATGCAATCCAACAGTCAAGATTAAAAGTACGTAGGGAAATGCTAGCAACCTTCTCTCTAACCTTCTTCTTTGGACCTTCTCCCTTTTCCTAATGACAATATTTTTAATTTTAAAAAAAACATTAAATTGTATTTCCATATATGCCTTAACAAAAATTAAAAAGTCCAAAATCCTTTGAGTTTTCACAGCCCGGCCCGATCCCAAGCCACTCCACCCATCCAAGACACAGCCCAATCTCTCTCGCTCTCACATTTGTGCGATGAGAAAAAAAAAAATCCAAGATTTTTGTCTCTCTCTAACCTCTACAGAACCTTTGCTTCCCAAATCATGAAATTTCAAACACTTTTTTTTATAAACAAAACCAAATAAAAATAGAAAATAGTGCTTTGGTGGTGAGATTTGAGAAATAAAATAAAAAATTGTTCAATTACAAACAACAGAGAAAGCAAAGGAGGTGGGAAGGTGGGGGGAATATGTGGATGTTGTTTGGTGGTAACGAGGGGGAGAGGAAGTGGGTTTCTTTCGTATGCTTGTTTGGGTATTGGTCATGGGTCATTGCTGGGTATTAGTGTTTGCTTCCATCCAATTTCTAATTTGAAGTAAGATATCTCAAATAGGACCCCTTTTAGAGCATAAGGAAAATTACTTTATATATCCTTTCATACAGAAATGTGATAATGAATGACCAAAATATAAGTTTGTTAGTTTAGATAAATTTTTGAATCAAAACATTCAAAATGGAAAAAATAATATCGTTATATAATCTTTAATAATTTGCATGTAGTTGCTCATATACATGTAACTATAATATGTTGATAAACAAAACACCTCTAAACGAGAAGTTTTGATTTAGACTCATGTCAATCGAGATCTCACAAATGTATAAAATCTTTGTTATGTTTTGGGTTGGTAAAACATTCCCATCATACAAACCCATATGTGGAAACGAATGACAAAACCAAATCACTTGAATAATATTATACAAATCAAAATAAAGCAATGAAATATTCCAAATTGACATGAGGAGAGAAATAAGAAAAATGAGGCCCCGCAATGGATTAGGTAAGTTTTGTTTCCTTCATGTTTTCACTTTTGGTAATCATTAGTGAAGAAAACAACAGTGGTAGTACAAATTGAAAAATAAAGATGATAGTACAGACAAAGTTCTGTAACTTGTAGTAAAAAGCATGGTTGAACTTGAAGATCCATACATGAGGGAATAAATCACTCTTTACATACTATTACATTGAATTATCAAATAATCATAACAAACTGGATACTTTAATATTTCAGACGATATCCAGTTTCCTTGTCTAGAAACCAAACAATCAAATTAGCATGTGTCTTTGAAGACAGACAACATGGTAAACCTCCATGCTAATTTAACATATTCACCCCCAAATTGTTGGACAATTTGTAATGTCCTTTATTTTTGGGGGGAGGAATAAGACCAAAACCCCCAAAAAAAAAGTAGATGAATATGTCTTGGGTGACAGAGAGTCTGGTGGGTAGATCAAGCACACGTGGCAGTGACAGCCCTGGTTTCAACAACTGCATTAGTTTTGTTGGAAACTTTGTTTTTCTCTAGCTCTAGCTTGTCCTCCAATTTGAGAAGAAAGTCATTGAAGCACTCATCCAAGGTCCTGAAAGATTCTCCTGGGTAAAGAGTCCCAATCTCCACATCGTGAGGGCCCTCCACAGGGAAATTGATCTGGCAACCTTTGATAAAGATATCGTGCGTGAATGAGGCCACTATACTTTCCGGTATGCGGTTCTCTGCAACAACAACAAAAAATAACAACGTTAATGTCATAAAACAAGAAGAAAGATAAAGTTTTGATCACAACCCAAATTCAGAAATGACCTGCAGCAATGGTTAGTAGGTCATCTTCAGTGATGGTAACTCTGGGAAGGGTGCGGCCAATTTTCTTCTCCCACAGGGATGCCAGCCCATTGATGTCGTATAAATTGGAAGGGGGTCGAAAATGAACATTTTTGTTGATGGTTCGGATGTCTTCCACCGTTTTTATTGTGAACTTTCCAATATCAGTGCCGTCTATAAAGTAGGCTGTGTATAAAAAAGATAAACAATAAACAATAGGCTGTGTTTCGCATTCTCCATCACTGCATTACAATAATTTAGACTATGGAGATTCAATGTCAAGAAATATGATGGTTGGTAAAGGAGAGGGAAAATACTAGAGACACCAACTTTCTAATAGAATATGGGACCCGTTGTATTGGCGGGCTTCACCTCTATTAAAGAGTTGGTGCCCAAGATGGTGCCCAAAGTTGATGCTTCTAGCACCACCCAAAGAAAAGTGACAGCTCGAAAAAGCATTTAGATGTGTGT